GTTGTGAGCGCTGCAGGCGTTCGGCCCGATCCCGAGAAGACTGCCGCTGTGGCCGCTTTTCCAGCTTCGACAGACAAAAAAGTCTTCGGCGATTTCTAGGGCTCTGCGCATACTATCGCCGCTTTATTGAAAACTTTTCTAAGGTTGCGGAGCCTCTCATTAGACTTACGCGTGACGGCACCCCATTTCAGTGGACTGACGAACAAGCGACTGCCTTTGCGGAACTGCAACATCGATTGTCTTCCCCTCCTGTACTCGGTCATTTTGATGAGGACGCTGACACAGAGGTGCGCACTGACGCAAGCAACATTGGTCTCGGAGCTATCCTGCTGCAAACACAAGATGGGATCGAACGTGTGATTGCCTACGCGAGCCGCACTCTATCACGTGCCGAAACCAACTATTCAACGTCAGAGAAGGAATGTCTCGCGGTAATATGGGCGATTACAAAGTTCAGGCCTTATCTATATGGGCGCCCATTTAAAGTTGTGACTGATCACCACGCTTTATGTTGGTTGGTTAACCTCCGAGACCCCTCTGGACGATTAGCACGGTGGAGTCTGCGACTTCAGGAGTTCGATGTCACCATCGTCTACAAGTCGGGTAGAAAGCATGAAGACGCCGACACGCTATCACGGGCACCTCTGGAATCCGACCATACAGCTGTAGCAGACGACAGCACCTTCCTGGGGACTCTCAGTGGGGCGGACCTTCTCAGTAAGCAACGAGCGGACCCCGAGTTAAGGCCCATCATCGATCATTTAGAAGGCAGCACCGCGTCTGTTCCTCGTCCACTTCCCCGTACGTTGCCGTCATTTTGCTTACGACACGGCATGTCATACAATAAAAACACCGGTGTTGGCAGCAGATCTTATCTTCTAGTCGTCCCTCAAGACCTTCGTGATGACATCCTATTAGCCTGCCACGATGAGCCGACATCCGGCCATCTGGGATACTCACGGACGCTCGACCGGGTTCGACAGCTATATTTCTGGCCAAAACTCGCAGCTTGTGTCAAACGCTACGTGAAAGGATGCCGCAAATGGCAGCGTCACAAGTCGCCACCTGTAAAGCCTGCAGGCCTCTTACAACCCATCTATCCACCGCGTACGCCGTTTGACCAAGTTGGGATGGACCTCCTTGGACCGTTTCCTTTGTCTCACTCCGGGAACAAGTGGATCATCGTCGCAACTGATTACTTGACGCGTTACGCTGAAACGAAGCCATTGACACGCGGTACAGCATCTGAAGTCGCCCAGTTTTTCATGCACCACATCGTGCTTCGTCACGGTGCCCCGTCATTCATCATCACTGACCGAGGGACAGCGTTTACGGCAAAACTGTTGGACGACATCTTCAAGCTCAGTTACACGAACCACCGCAAGACAACCGCATACCACCCCCAGAGTAACGGCTTAACAGAAAGGCTGAACAGAACGCTGGCGGACATGATTTCTATGAACGTGGATGTGCAGCATAAAACATGGGACGAAATCCTGCCATACGTAACGTTTGCGTACAACATCGCAACCCAGGAGACGACAAGGTTCGCACCATTCCGCCTCGTTTACGGTCGAGACGTCCGAACCATGCTAGACGCTATGATTCCTTGTGACATCGACCAGGAAGAGCTACTAACTCCTGATGTCGACGATTACATTCAGCGTGCAGAGGAAGCACGTCAATTAGCTCGCGTGCACATAAGATCACAGCAATGTGAAAACGCCCGAAGGTACAATATCCACCATCGACAAGTCTCCTATCAACCTGGCGACCAAGTGTGGATTTGGACTCCTGTTAGACGGCGAGGTCTCAGCGAAAAACTCCTGAGCAAGCACTTTGGACCCTACAAAGTAATACGGCGGTTGAACGAGGTCAATTACAAAGTTATTCTGGACGGAGGCTCGGCAACGACCTAACGCCACTCACCACGAACAGAGATTGTGCATGTCGTCCACCTAAAACCTTATATTACGCGGTGATACTCGCCTTATTGTGCCTGGGCAGGAAACATTTCCTTTTTTTTTGACATTGTCCGTTAGGTCTCGAACGAACTGTGAACTCAGTTAATGGTTTTTTTCTCTTATGACCAACCTCAGACAATTTTTTTTTGCATCTGCATATGCCCTGTGCACTATAGGTACTGTTTCTCTCTCTTTTTTTTTTCCTTATCGGCCCTGCCATCCTCTTGTGTATGAGCATCGAGTCAATGCTCTAATTGGAGGGGGAATAATGCCACCTAGAGTTGTGAGCCGGCAAGCCGCGAGCCAAAAAGGGCAAAGAGAACGGAGAAGTGTGGTTAGCGCCTCGTTCTGAAGATAAACGCTCGTGTCTTTCTGCCCCGCTGTTCCTGTCGTGTCTGTACGGCTCTTGGTGCGTGACAATATAAACTATGCGATGAATACGTATACGTCATGTTACTAAAGATGCATTACTTGAGCTCTTACTACGAATTTTAACCTTACTTTTGTGTTCCTTGAAAAATGTGTTTCTTGCCGATTTTTATCAGTTTGCTCTGTGTATTTTTATTTTAATATTGCAACAAGTGTACTTATTTGTAATTCTTGTAATGTTGCTGCTGTTATTGTACGGGGAGGTGGGACGAGCCGAGCTGCCTATAAGCAGCTTTTATCCCACCATTTTTGCTATTTATACGTGTCATAGACACTTACGCTGCAAAACGAAAATTGAAACTTCAAACTATTCAACTTGCCTGGAAGTAAGGCAATCACGCTATAACGTACTTGAACGCACTATACACACCACAACATGAAGCGCAAGCTACCTCATGGTTTCCAGTACAGGGCCGCGGTGCCTTCTCCTTTCATTTTTTTTTTTACTTTGCTCCTGCCTCTGAAGTTGTCGTTTACGAAACAGATAGGCTCATTTCTATTCCTCGATTCGCGTGATCTGTTCGCAGCGAACGGACAGAGATGATGAGATGAACGCATGAAATGCACAGGCATGTCGTTTGTAATAGCTCGATCTTACCTTTCAGCCCGGATCCAGGTGAACGCAGATGTTGCTTCGAATCACGGTCAGTGGGTATACACAGCGCTGTCTCGTGGATATCTTTCGACCTTTACCGTACCTCAGTTACGGAGTTAGCTTACCCTAATTAACCTACTTAGTGTTCGCGTGGCTACATTAGTAAGAACTCTACCTGGGCGCCATCATAAACGAGTCAAAGTAAACGTTGTGCGTCGATGCTGGCGTTGCAGGTGAAGCGGTATTCTTTGCCCAGACGGTTCACGTCATTAGCGGAAAGAACGAAACGTCCGCTGCCGTGTAGTGCTATGACCTCCATATAATTATAGCTTGACAGTTTAAACCTTTTGTTATGTGTTGTCCCACTAGTATTTGCTTGTGTCAAGACCAGGTGCACCCAGCTACTTTCGAAAGATCCCTCCAAAAATATAATTAAGGCAGCTTCGCAGTAGGAGTGCCGTGCCTGAGCTAAGTGCAGAGCTGGGCAGCCTTGTTTGTATCTTATGTTTCTCTTTTTTTTTCTTTTCTGTGATCTCAATGTTTCCTTCTTGTCTGTTTATATTTCTTTCTCTGTCTCGCACTTTCTCTCTGTCTCTCTTCGCTTTTTCCCTCTCTATTTTCGCTCGTTTCCACATTCTATCCTTTCCTTTCACTTTCTTTAGTTGTCTCTTTCCTTTTTCTGTCTGCCTCCTCTTTTTCTTCTATTTCTCGTTCTTTCTGCACAATGCTTCCTTCGTTCGTTCATTGATTCTCTGTCTTTGTATTTCTTTCCTTTCTCTTGCCATGTTTTTTTACCCTCTCTCCTCTTTTCGCTCCTCTAGCGCACACCTCTCGTCCTCCCGCTACTTCCTTGCTGTACCACACTATACAACGTTATGCTATGACCTGATCGTGTGCCTCGATAGACGAGTGGTTACGACTCTTGTCTTCAAATCGTGGGTACACATTTTCGGATCCTGCCGCACCGAGTTTTTTTTTTTTTTGCGACAATTTGCCTCTCTTTTTCTAGCTTTTTTTCTCTCTCTCTGCGTGCTCGTCCTCCGGCCTATCAGAGTTATAGCATCCCACGTCGGACAAACTGCTCACGTGTTGTAGGATCAAAGCAGAAGATGAAGAGGGCGGAAAGAGCATGTGCCAGTTCAGGATATCTGTTCGCACTACTCAGCACAATGAAAAGCTCAAACAGCCTCGTTGTTAAAGAGCGCAAGGCTTTTTACACCATTGTATGTATTTTTTTTTGGAGTGGGGGCAGGGGGCATTTTTTGGTCAACAACAGTGTCGGGCAGGTAAATGGTCATTGTGCGCTACGTACATAAACATGGCGAAAGAAAATTCAGGAGACGGAGGGGGGGGGGGGAGGGCACGAGCCTGGAGTGCCGCCTAATGGCTAGGCCACGGCTTCTTTGTGCATTCGTGCTAGATTATTTGAAAGTGAAACATTCGCTCATGAGCGCAGTCGGGTCGAGCCCTGAGACACCCGTGTCTGAATCCCTTGGTCGAGTAAAGTTTGACCTCCTCCTCCTCCTCCAACACTCCACAATCCTTTATTTTGCAATGCAGCGAAGTGCCTACAACGTGTCTGCGAGGTAGCAAGTGCACCCACGCAGCTGCAAACTGGGTTGATGCTGCGGATGATGATGATGAATTATGGCTGAGCCCGTTGTGATGGGTGGGCAGCTTAGAGACATCCACTTCTTACGCACTTCATCAGGTATGACGCCTGGCGCGATTCCACGCTTCAGCTACGCAACATTATTTTGGTTTATCTGCCTTTCTCGACCGACGCGACCCCCGCATGAGGACTTTTTCAGAGTGTTGACGTGGACTCTGTGGTAGAATGCGCGAGTGCCACGCATAGTATCCGGTTTCGACTTCATGCAAGATTTTGCACTACACGCACTTGTGAAGAGGCACATTGAAAGTGTCTCGCAAGAAAAGTACATTACCACGTTCAGGTGATACTGCCAGCATTGTGTCATTTTCTCCGCGAGGAAATGAACGCAGCAAAAGTGTTTTCGAGACAGTGCACAATCTGTTTATTACCGCAAAGTATGTACAACTATGGTGGTCGCTCCTGTAGAACACGCACTGCAGCCTCCGCGGAGGGACACCTCTGATGCAAAGCTCTCCTCGTATTGTAAGCCGCCCTATATGCACAAAAATAAATGCCATCCTCTATATACAGGGTAGCGCGCCGCCTAGAAGAGACAAAATATCTAGCTGCCGTTCGATAAACCGGCGGGCTAACTGCACCGTCCAGCGGGAACTGCAGTCGCCCGGCGTCAAGTTCGACTGACGGCGGGTGTAGGGTGACCCCGGGGCCACCGACTCGAGGCACGTGCACCATGGAGTTGCGTGCAAACGCTACACAAGACGGCGTCACACAGTAGACGATCGACCATCAAGTGGACTGTACGTGCATGACATAAGTGCGCCATTAGTGAAGTATGCGGGTGCAAACTGAAACGCGCAAGCCTGATGCAAAGAAAAAAGAAAAGCTTACCCCAGTTAAGCTCAGTTTGGAAGTTCGCATAATCAGCGAAGCTGCGATTCCCCTGTGCTTCCCTTGTAGTGACTTAGTGATGTTTTGTGACTGTGTAGGTGTATGTGATTACGTTATTCATAGAGCAAAGACGAACTGGAGCCCCTGCCACACCCACTCCTGTTTCATTGACTTAAGGCATTATTCGTACTCGAGCCGTAGTTACCAGTTTCAATGTGTAGGTCCCTCTTCATCAGCGACCGAGACAGTTACGCCATCTGTGGGCGTATCTGGGAACCGGAGCATGACATGCGACGTGGACGCTCGCGTGTCCGTCCAGCTCAGCTCAAGAGCAGCGCCGGTGTTAAAATAAACGGCATGGAGACAGCGAGCAATCCACAGGCCAACATCGCATCCGTGTGCCTTCACAATAAATAAAATCATTATACACTAGCGAGTGTGGAAAATCTCGACGAAAATTGCAGTTGGCCGATGTCTGCCAGGCTGTTTGACATTAAAATATCTGTAGGCAGCAACAGTGGTGACAAATAATGAGGTGCATCCTAGTTATACGACATGTGCTCAATGTGGGAAAAATTTGGGCTTGGCCAGTAGCAACCAGATGATTGGTAAAAAGTTTGTGTCGGAAAACGTTGTAACCGTGCTGCCAAATAACTTGGCTGTACCAAGCAGCTACGTTTATATACATTTATCATAAGTTATTTATTCAGCACGACATAAAAGGTGGCGAGTAACAACATTCGAACCTTAAATCAGCACTGACCTCGAATAATTTCGAGATGGCAAAGTTTGGTCGAGAGGAAGCTCAAGGCGAAATTCCACAATTATGTTGGGCGCCCGTTTTCTGCAGCGACACAATTAAAATCGCGAGCTGCCGATCATTTGCTTCCCGCTTAAACAACAATGCCAAGGACATCTACAGTAATGAAAGGCGTCCTCTTATTCCGACGCACGCATGAAACTCCATGGCACAAACGACGCCATCGAATCGGTGGTCACATTCGCTACACGTCACAGAAGCAGACACGGGTCCTAAAACTTTAAGCCATGCTTATCTTTGAGTCCTCAAGATCGCAAAACAAGCTGCCATCTGAAACAACAGATACACATTTAGGTGTGAATTTCGATGAAAAAAACATGAAGGTTAAAAATACGTGTGATGGATTATGTTTTTAAATGTGTGATAAGATGCGTCGGTGGTCTCGACCCAACATTACTCCCGTCGGACGCAACTTGCTGCTCGAGTGTCCTGCTTGACAGAACAACACGTTGCAGCACCCGTGGGTGATGCTTATATGCTCGGGTGTGCTGGGCCATTGCTTTCACTGCAGCCACTCGTGCTAGATATGATTGGCACACACACCTACCCCGGGGTCAACCTGGACTGCACACAGCAAGGGAGGGCAGGGAGCCCTGAGATGACACGACAACCTACAGTCAACGTGGGAAGGGGTTTCTATTACTGTACCGCTCTATTGTGCAACCTTTTGTACAGGAGGAAGACCGCAGACAGGTGCAGCGACCGACACCACGACGGCGGCCGATAGAGGCGGTTATCTCTCTCGCAGCTGCATACAGTAAGTAGCAACGGTCGCAGGTCGTCCAAGTATTATCACAAGTGCGCGTCATCGGACCACTCTGTTATCAGATCAACATCGATGGAAAAATCGCCTATGTATCATCACTCGTCCACAATATTCATCACCGAGCCTCGTGGGCCAGCACGTCCGCCTCGAGTTGCCTCTGGTTGTGGTAGCACGCCTTTGATCGCTCATAGGAAGCTCAAGAGCGGACGTGGAAGAGGTGAAACGATCAGGTCGGATAGCAGTGGGCTGGTAAATAAAAAGCTAACTCCGGCCGACATGCCACACGACCTATTACGCACCATATATTTAGCGAAACGTTCCACAGACTTCCAGCGACTGTGGAAAGCTGCCACGCTATCTTCCGAAAACCAACAGACAGAGACACACACACAGGAGCCAACGAGATAAAACAACACGCGATCTCGACAGGGATTCGCTCGTCGAGCCAGGGATCTGAATAGCTGACGGGTAGGACCGCTATAGAGATGTAAAACTACTTCGCTGATAGTTCCAGAAGCACTGCGTAGTGGGGCGCCCTTGTATTCTGCCAGCGGGCGATGACGACCTGTCTGGGGGCTGAGCTCGGTGGTGGTGCCGCTGCGTGCCCTACTGGTGGGAAGGGCCGCAGTCAGCGGGTGCCCGACTGCGGCGCTCCGCTTATTGTGCTTCGTCAGGCCGCGCATCTTCGGTTGTGTGTGGGCCGCTATTGCGCAAAGGGGAGGGCCAGCCATCCGCCGCTCAGTGGTAGGCCCGCTGGCGGAACAGCGCGGCGATCTCTTCCACGCTCTTGTTCTTTGTCTCGGGAACCATGTAGTAGGTGAACACCCAGAAGAACGCCAGCAATGCCGTGAATATGAGGAACGTGTAGTGCTCGAGCACGCCCTGCAAGAGAGAGAGAGAGAAAAAGCAGACACGTCATCCATCGTGCCACAGCATTTTTCTATAATTTTGGCTATGGTATCATTGCTGAGTGGTTATCTTGATTGATTGATTGATTGATTGATTGATTTCATTGCTAGAATTACACTACACTACTGATGGGCAGCAGTTTTTAAGGATATCCTCGAAAAAGTTAGCCTTAACTTACTACACCAGGTGTCGCTTACTACCAGGTGTAGCTTACTACACCAGGTGTCGGTTGATGGCTATGATATATACAATGATAACCTACACACAAATAATTCGTGCAGTCACAAACACACACATATATATACACATCAGAGTCACTTATCAGGAGTATAGTTAAGCAAGAAAAAAAAACTAACAGTGTTATGGAGTTGCGCATTGCTCGAGCCCCACTTTGCCACGGACCGAGAAGGTGCCGTAGCCCCATGTAGCAAATGCAGCGAAGTAGCAGACAAATTGCTGCCGTCAAAATCTGTCGTTCTCTGTCGCAACGGGAGCAGTCACACAGTACGCGTACATGTTACTCACCGTTAAAGGCAGAAACGCGAGGCCCACGAGGAAGTTGGCGCTCCAGTTTACGGCGACGGCGATGCTGGTTGCAAGCGGTCGCGCGCCCTGTCCGAAGAGCTCGCCGACAAGGAACCAGGGGAATGGAGCCCGGACCCGTGGCGAACATGACCACGAAGCCGATGACGGCCACGATGCTCACGTACGACAGCCCTGGAACGCTGTCGCTCAAGGCCAGGCAGATGGTGAGAATGACCGTGATGACTGCCATGCCGCCGAGGCCGACGAGGTGCAGGGTGCGGCGGCCCGCTCGCTCGACCAGCACCAGCGAGACGAGGGTCATGAACACGTTGACGGCGCCCATGCCTAGTGTGGCCTGCATGGCCACTTCGTCGGTGAGGCCGGCCGATCGGAAGATGTCCGTCGAGAAGAAAATAGCCGCATTGATGCCAGACAGCTGCTGTGACAGCATGACCATGATCGAGATCAGAAGAGGGATGCGTAGCGTGATGTTATGCATCATCTCGTACAGGGTGACCTGGATAAATAGAGAAGAAAAGAAAATATCAGAAGGCTTCACAGATGACGTGCAATCAATTATTGAGCCACTTCCGTATCACTGGTGAATGTTATTCTATCGTGGCGAATACAAAGCTTACAAACTGCGCTCATGTTTACAGAAGACGTGGATCGGTGAAGGGCATCAGCGACAACGTTATCTTGGCCGGGATGTTGGAACGTCTCATTCTACTCGCGCGTTTCATGTACAAGTCGAGCCTGAACTGCGGGGCTTCTGAAGTTAACAGGCATCAAAGCGAAAGCCATTTAACGTTCCTTGCCGTCCCCAGAAACCTTCCTTAAATGTCTTCCTTGCTCATTATTGAGCCCTTACTTGAGTTGATTGTATACTTTATTGATCTGTAGGCAATGCGTTCTGGGGAGGGGGGAATCACGCGGTAATGCAGTTTCCTTCGTAAGAAATAAAAATGATGATCTTGCGCATGTCTCGCCACGCCTATTTCCAACTTTGCCCGTATTCGTCTGCGCACATGCTAAATAACCCTGTACAGAGTGGACCGTAACTGCTGAATGAGGTAAGAACGTAAGAACAAGCGAAATGTCCACCTTACATTTGAAACTTCTCTTTAAAAACGCACGTGCGTGCGTGTGTGTAGGCCTGTAAGAATGGTTCATGTCCGAGAGACAGCATAAAAATGAAAACATTTCTTTTTTTTTCCAGAATGCAGCAGCTACTCACCCTCGAGACCATCTTGATGGCTTCAAACTCGGCCCGCATCTCGTCCATCTCGTCGTGTACCTCGATCGTGCCTCGAAGCCAGGTGAGCGCCTGTTGGGCGGCCACGTCTCGGCCCTGGTTGATGAGGATGTACTTGGGCGACTCCGGGCAGAGGGGCAGCGTGGCCAGCATGAACAGGCTGGGAACAACGGTCATTGCGAAGAGAGCGGGCCACCGGTCTGCCGTGCCCAGTGCCGAGGGTAGACCCAGGATCTGACTGGCCAGGATGGAGATGGTCACCACCAACTGATAGATGGTGCCCACAGCGCCGCGCAAGTGCAGTGGCGAGATCTCTGTCAGGTACATGGGTGCCAGACCCGCGTTCAGGCCCGAGCTGAGACCCACGAAGAACCGGCCCAGGATCAGCATCTCGTATGAGCGGGCCGACTGGGTCACGAAGCTTTTGTTACCACGGTGTCCGATACGAGAATTTTCTACACTCATCAAATGCGATGCATTTTTTTATGCTATAGGGGAGACTGGCAAGAAGCTGTGGGCTTCTTGAGTATGATGATCCTAGTTTGTAGGTGTTGTTTTTTTTTGCATTTCCACCTATTCTTGTCGTAGTCTTGGTATATTTTTTCTTTGCTCCCTTATCTCTTACTCTAGGTGGCAGTTACCAGCCTGTTTTCTCACCATTTTTTTTGTGTCCTTGTTCATGCGTATTAGATAATAATAATAATAATAATAATAATAATATATAAAATAATATAATAATAATAATAATAATAATAATAATAATAATAATAATAATAATAATAATAATAATAATAATAATAATAATAATAATAATAATATTAATAATAATAATAATAATAATAATAATAATAATAACGCAACGGGTATGAGCAGAGTAAGAAGTAGAAGAGGAGGACGTCAGTTGTAATGCTCATAAAAAAGGTACTCTACGCTTTCTTTGCCAATCCACCGAGTGGGTATGCGCCATATTTTCAAGAAAAACAAACAGACAAACTTGGGCAGCCTGCTGACGCCATCATTACCTGGAAGTTAACGTCGCCCTGTATATAAACATCGTTCAAACGCAACCATAACAGTTTCGTTGTGGAGGTGCTGGGCGGTTCGACCAAAACGACGGACCCGCTGCCTTAAGGTATACGCCGACGCCTCGCTCGACTGCCTCCGACGCTAGCGGAGAGTTCCCTATGTCTAACAACGGCGACCAACAGTCATTTACTATTCCTCCGCCACGAGCAACTGGTGCCTAAATCCATCACATGGAGCCACGCCCATTCTCAGGAAAACCCGGCGAGGACGTGGAGGAGTCGCTCGTTCACCACAAGCGCGCCATTAAGCAGGAATGCTGCGGTTCGGCTAGATCACGTCGCCCTCTTTATGACCGAAACTGCACTGGTGCGGTTTGAGAACCGAGAAGCAGCATTAACAACCTGGAACCGCTTCGCTACTGAAACCACGCAGTGCTTCGGTGACTACTCTACGAAAAAGAAAAAACAAAAAACGAGTGGTGCAGATTTTGCGTCTGCGGGCTCATGTGCCTGGTGAGACGTGTACAACGCACATAGAGGCGATCCTCAAGTTATGTAGAACTGTGCATCCCCAAATTTCCGAAGAGTACAAAGTTGGGCACCTGCTGAAAAACATTGCTGAGGAGATATATAGCAACCTAATCGGCAAGACGAGTCTTTCATCCTTCTCTGACGTCATCAAGCACTGCCGCATGCTTGAGACTTCGAAGCTACGCCGCATTACGACAAATTTTGGAAGGTTAGCGAATGTCGCAACCATGGCAAGCGTTGACGACAGCTAGTTTTCAATTTGACTTTGCGGCAACTGTAAGGCAAATTGTCCGCCAGGAGCTCGGCCGACACATCACGTCTATAGGTGTCGAGTGGCGTGGTAGTTATTTTAGCCAACCACATGAGCCTGCATTGATTGTGGTACGAGAAATTCCGTTAAAAATTCTTGTTGGCCCATAAAAGCACTTGCAACGCAAATACCAAGAGAAACGAGGCAACTCTCCAGTGACACCCCGAAATGTCACATCACAATTCCACGGGAACATAACTTACCGATCAAGTCATTTTTAAAAGTCTCACTCATGACAGAAATTGTAGCACCAGTATCTACTAATGCAGTTGCAGGTACAATTTGAATTAACACACGCACTATGTTCTCGGTCATCATAATGGGAAGAAGAGTAGTTCGCATAGGCGGAGATGCATATAGTAATGCGGTGCTTCAAATGCTTATGCAGTCCCCTCTGTTGACTAATAATGTTTTCAGTGGTTTCTGCGTATAAATGTCTTCACCAACAAGCCTGCATAGTAGCGATAGCGATACAACTGCATGGTATACACAACTTGTGCGAGCATGTGCCCACAACACTGCAAAACAAAAAAATATACTATATGACATGGTATCAAAATGCGGTGATCAATAGATAACAGCGCAAAATCCACAGCCCACCGAAGATTAGTGGGATGTCCTGCTAAGGGTAACCCCTTAGCAGGACCTCCCACTAATCTTCGGTCGGTGGTGGATTTGGTGGTGGAGACCGAAACGACCAGCTTATTTATGCCAGCTACCTGAGCAATGCAAAAGGGAGAGCCGGGCAAGGTGGTCACAGCTTACCGACATTAAGCCGGATGTCGAGGGTTATAAGACAATATCAGTTTGGTCACTCAGTATACATATGCTGCTTTGTTTTGTAATACAGGCGCCGTTACTTTTCCCACATGAAATAACAAATCAAACTGATGACATACTGCATTATTATGCGACATCGTGTCGTGCCAGCCGCTACCAACTGTGCTCACTGGCGCGCACGCTCACACTAGGGAAGAGGAATACGACTAAGGTGCACAAATATTAGTTCGTAATGGCCCTGCAACTTTTCAAAGTAATGACCAAACGGCGTAATTATTAAGGAGTTTATTGCCTCGCGAATCGACTACCGCAAAGTTCTTAACACGTAATTGTTTTATGCCGGGGTCCACCAGGACTCCGCTGACGTACTTCCGTCCCGAATGCTGATAGTCTAGAAAAATGCTGACAGCCTGCAAAGAAAAAAACGAGAAGAAAATATTCTGTTGCGAGGCATCAAACCAGCGCCTTCTCAATCAACAGCGGCGCATGGCGCCATCCACTAGACCACGGAGAATACGTCGTGAAAGGCTAACATCAAGCCATACATACATACATACCATTTAGCGTTTGGCCGTCCTCAGAGCTTTGTAATAAAGCGACCGGTCAGAAAAGACACACATGGACAAAACCAAGGCTGTAGGAGCTTCGCCCCTAAAATTAAGAATTGTGACAATTTCTCGCACCTGTCCTGTGTATTCTTGTGCGTTCCATTCGTGAGTCTGAACAGCGTGCTGTAAGTGTCGAGCTGTGACAGTTGCTAGTCCGCGCACGTCTGGTGTAGGCTCATTTTGTGCCTGCTTTCTGCTTGAGGTGTGTGCTGCGAGTTTCGCGCTGGTTGCTGCTCTTCATGTGACTTCGCCATTTGTTGCTGTAACTATAATTTCTTCGCTCTTGCAGCGAAACAAAGCACAAAAAATGCTCAACTTGCTTTGTGAAGACGCGTTTAACTTTCGTGTTATACCGATTCCCAGAAAGAGGGACCATCCACATACTTTTCTTTTAGAATCAGTCAAGATAGGAGTGCAGTTAAAAGGGCTAATTGCCGCTCAGAATAAACACTTTCTTTTTCTTCTGGCATCATCGAGCGCACTGAATGCTATACGCAGGGGAGAAATGCAATGTGGGCGAGAAACGGAGACGCATTCGTCAGCGCGCATCACGATCTTAAGAACTTCTAAATTCGTTTTTTTTCTTTTTTTCCGACATGTGGCTTACTAACAGTGCCATCTCGTGGTGGTCGCAGTAGTTATGTAGCTCACAATGCTCAAATTAGCCAATGGCCATGGACTTGAGGTTTATTTGGGTTATTGGCATCAATTTTTTGTCGAGAGAAGAGGGATCGCATTAACGCTTACTTTGGGAATTAATTCTAAATTCTAGATTGCATGCTGCGCTATAATGTTTGGCTAACATGTTCTCAGAAGCCTCGACTATAGCGATTGTGAGCGTTATTCTACAATGCTAAAAAATATATCGCAGTGCTCCTTTAAGAACTTCGACCTCCAACTACAAGCACAACTCAGCCCTCTGATTGGGACCGAAAGGCTCGAACAACCACTTTTATGTGGGAAAATCATCATAGGCTATAGAATACCGTCACCACCAATTAGTTACGCGCCTCTTAATGACGTGTGGACCTCGTCGAGGGCTGTAGGAGTTGCCCTCTCAATACACACGCTTAATTTTTTATATATTGCCAATTGATTGATCGATATGTGGAGCTTAACATTTCAAAACCCCCATATGATTATGAGAGACGCCGTATTGGAGGGCTCCGGAAATTTCGACCACCTGGGGTTTTTTAACGTGCGTTCAAATCTGAACACACGGGCCTAACACATTTCCGCCTCCATCGAAAGTGCGGCACCCGAGGCCGGGATTTGATCCCGCGACCTGCGCGTCATCAGCAGCCGAGTGCCTTAGGCACTAGACCACCATGGCGGGTCTGGAACAGTAAGGTTAGATCGCAACATTCTGAACACCATTACACGATCATTAGCTCATTTCTGTGTACGCAGCGAGCCAAAGAAGCATCGTCATAACTTCAAACTCGCCATGACAACGACCTTACACTTGACATTACTTGGGGTCTGGCAACACGTCTTCTCACCTTGGAAGCTCCCATCAGGATGGCGGCGAGGAAGACGCTGATGTTGTTGAGAAGCAGGCCTCCTTTGCGGCCGAAGCGCTCAGCCACGAAGGCCGTCAGCAGGCCCCCCATCATGCCACCAACGCAGAAGATGGCCACGAAGATGCTGAAGATGAACTTGACTGTACCCTCGCCGGGCTCCTCTTCGAAGCGGTGCTTGTACGTGTCTTCGATGAACTCCTCCACCAGTTTCTGCGGCGCGTTGACCACGCCCGTGTTGTATCCATGCTGGAAGGCCGATCCCAGCGCCGCCGCTGCTATAGCGAACGCCAGATGCCGCGTGAGGCCCTGCAAAGCAGAACAGAAGCATTCAAGATTCATTCGTTATGAAGAAAATAATTAAGCACCATTCGTTTGTTGCACGCAGCCACAAGAAAATTCAAGTGGACTCTTCGGAAAAAAAAGACCATAGTTGAAGGGATACTCTTGCTGCTATTTGGATCATACCTGGTCCAGTGCCTTACCGTGCGGTCGTTCTATTAACTGAGCCAACCAGTATGCTGGAAATCAGCAGCGCGTGGGCAAAATTATGAGCAACTTGAAGTACATGGTCGCAGAATAATGAAAATGGGCTCCGCGGAATCCCGTAAGGTGGCGGAAGAGTTCGTAAATATTTGACCATCACGCGCTTGTAGGACAAGCAGCATGGAAACCCGAGTGGATTTCTAAGAAAGGAAAGAGTTCCCTTCTGGCTTTGTGCCACGAGTGGCTGCTTGTCAGTTGACTGTTTCACGACACTTCCGCCACTTCGCGTCATATTCTGCTGCCATATTTCTCCATAAGCGCAAATTTACGAGGACAGATCACAGTGCGATCTACTTGTACATTCCTGCCAAGCAGTATGAGATCAAAACGTCTCGTGGTTTGATTCTTATAGCAGTGAATGTCAAGTCCGCACAAAATGGGTGATTGCACAGACGTATAGTTAAACGCAAGCACGGTAAAAGCAAGCACGGTAAACCGGAACATGGTCATACATGTATACCAATACGTGCAGTAAGTTTGCGACAGCTGATATGGTTGTACATTGAGACAGTGTGCAGTCGTCTACCTTCTTGCGTTATAATCATGCCTTACTCGAGGTCGGGGACATTAATTCACCCTTAATTAGCCATTTTTTTCCGCTGATGTAACATTGAGGCTTCTTCATAGCATTTACAGTAGGGGCCACACTGCTCGCAAAGGGCATGAAAGGAGGCACTTAGAACAAATGCTATCAAGTAACAAACGCTTTCTTTTAGCAAAATCATTAAGAAAAACGTTCGATAAATACTATTCAGATAGACAGGCACCGGCACTACAGCACATGTATCTCGAGTATTGCTCAAATGATATTAGGAAGCGTACCCACTACACTCTCAGCAGCACATGTGACCAGTGTCATGGTACGCTGACCAGAATTAAACATTTAGGTAATGAATTGCTAGCCAAGAAATGCATAAACAATTTCAAGTAAAAGTTTTGTGCAGCTGTAGATGGCCGCTATGGTCCTGTAGTGCCGGAAACGAAGTTCGAACAATGCAATAACCAGCAAGCAGCTACCGTGTGCTTCCCATCTAATTTCATCAATTAATATTCAGAATATTCCAAATGCTTGAACCCACTGTCGTGCGCACAAGCCCCCTTTAGCCCAGCCTGCAATAAGGCCACCACCTTTGGTGGCTGGGTACCCCGGCTACTGAACAAAGCTATAGCATATTATGCAGCACTCACGGACAATTGATGCACAGATGGCCGAGATGGGGCTTTTTAAACTAAATTATAACCTAGTTTGAGACAGATGGTTCAAACATCTGCTTAGCCAATTTTGCGGATCAACAAGCCAACTGCACAGCTCTTACCTTAGTCTTTTTGCACCTGGAATACTCACTATAGTGTGGTTCACCAACCTTAAACTATCATTCTTAGATCGCCATCTCCGGATGCGCTCACCACAATTACTAATTAATCGCATTATACGTCTTAGTCTACTCTTTCGTAGCACAGCTGTTAGAAGCAGAACGGCCGCTGGAATATATTACTGGATGCATTGCATGCTTACCCATAAAGGTACTCAATGTCACTGAAGCATGCTGTACGCGTAAAGCATGGCCGGTGTTTGAGAGTTCTCATGAGAACGTTAAGTACTTCAAGACTGTTCGGGAAAGTTCTCTCAGCCTCAACTCCTATCAATGACGTAGGCGGAAATTGACTTCGATGGGGGCGCACTCTTGATCAGCAGTTGGGGGCCGCCGCGTAGGCACGAATGTAATTTTGTCCTCTGTGTCACATGGCAAAACGAATTTCGAGATGGACACATGCCCGGTGTGCCACCCCCTGGCTGCAACACTGGTTTCGATGTCACGAACAGTTGTTTGATATGAGCAGTACTGCGAGTGCAGAACGCAGTGATTACGCGCTGTATAAACGCCACGGCTCACTGGATTCCGTGCCGACCGGTTGTGCCCTCGCGATCTCCGACGACAGCGTAGCTCTGGCCGACTGGACTTTCCCAACGCTATCTCCTGACGCCGACAAAAACTCTCACCAGCGGTACCCTGTCATCGGACTCCTGCAACCGTGTCCATCTTTCATGTATTCTCCATGCTTCCGTCATTCGCTGTCCCTCCGCCTCGCTCTCTCCTACCTCTGTCTATCTCTTTGCCTTTTAATCATATTCTTTTGTCTACCCCCATCCCTCGTGAGCTACTGTTGAGGTGTCCTCCCCCTGAGAGACAGTTACGGGGTTCACTTTTCTCTTCTTTTCACTTAATGTAACTCCCCCCCCCTCGCCCTCTTGTCGTCCTCCACGACTGGTACACGCTGTGCCAGACAGGTCGCCACACGCCCGGTACTCGTATCGGTCGATTTCGTGGCGACGGGAACCTCCCGGAGGCATCGATCAGCACCGAAATGGTGCACTCGCTTGGCGGGACTCCGGGCCGTAATAGCGAACAGCGGGCTTTTGTTGCTCGCCCACGCGAAGGAAGTGGCGGGCACAGCTTGTGCACGCTTCGCTCCGAATCAGCGTGCAGCCTGTGTCGTGTGCGGCGCGGCGTTCGCCCCCAGCGGGCCTTGACCGGCGCGTTCCACACGCGCTGCAGGACTTCGCCATTCAAGACGGTCGGGCGTGTGTGCGTAAATACGCATCACGTCCCACAACATGCAGTTGATTGGCAGGATTCCTCGAAAGAAAAAGATATCCGAGACGACGAAACGTCGATGACGTAAACAAGCTTACCGCGCTTTTTATAAGTAACGTTTCGATTTCCTCAATTATTTGTACGGGGTCATCAGGCTGTTGGTAGCGTTTGTGGTAGTAAGCACGACACGGCACTCGGCTGAGACGGCACAACAATGCTGTGGGGTAAAAGCGAAAAATTTTTTTATTTTATTTTGTTATATTTAACTGCCCGTCTAGGACTCCTGTGCAATAACAATCACAGTGATTGATTTGTGGGGTTTAACGTCCCAAAACCACCATATGATTATGAGAGACGCCGTAGTGGAGGGCTCCGGAAATTTCAGACCACCTGGGGTTCTTTAACGTGCACCCAAATCTGAGCACACGGGCCTACAACATTTCCGCCTCCATCGGAAATGCAGCCGCCGCCGCCGCCGCCGCCGTGATTCGAACCCGCGACCTGCGGGTCAGCAGCCGAGTACCTTAGCCACTAGACCACCACGGCGGGGCAACAATCACAGTATTGTATTCTTTTTATCGTTATACTAGAATAAAAAAAAAATGATTGATATATGGGGCTTAACGCCCCAAAACCACCATATTGTCACGCGCTAGGGGCACGAAGAAACGTACAAGGAGACGCGACTGTCAAAATCTGAGACACAAAGAAGGACGTCTCCGCTGGCACGGGTTGCTCGTCTTCGTCTTCTTCGTTCACTGGCACAGAACTGGCTCACTGTCAGTCGCTGGCACAGGACACCAGGTGGCAATATGTATATGAAAGACGCCGTAGTGGAGGGCTCAGGAAATTTCGACCACCTGTGCTTTTTTAACGTGCACCCAAATCCGAGCACACGGGCCTACAGCATTCTTATCTGCTCAGCCCTCTCTATCGCCAGGAGCACCCCGGCTGAACTGCTGAGACCACTTCTTCTGCTACATTACCTTCCATTCAAGCATCTAAGCGGGACCCTTCTCCCAGACATTGCTATATTTTGCTGTACGGATTACAGGGATTTAATAAAATAAAAACACGTGCACGTTATCTAGGAGATAAGCATGTCTCATGTGTCTACGTTCACGTGCTGTATACAGATTACGTACGCCTCACGTTTGAAATTACATGCAGGGATATGGCATGCACATTAGCGGATCGACTGATGGCCTTACTGCATAGACGATATACGTGCAGTCTTCGTCATTTTCCCTTTACATTCACAATGTCCCCTTAGGACCCACAGGTCTCGGGATTGAATCCCGGCTGCGGCGACTGCATTGTCGATGGCGGCGAAAAAGCTGTAAACCCGTGTGCTCAGCTTTGGGTGCACGTTAAAGAACTTCAGGTGGTGTACATTTCCAGAGCCCTCCACTACGGCGTCTTTCATAATCATATCGTGGTTTTGGTATGTTAAATACTACATATCAATCATCAAGGTTCCCTTAGCTTTTTTCTCTCTTTTACTCAGCGCGATCAAAGTATTATTTAGTATGAACCAGCTTGTCCCCCACACAGCACTTCCACTTTTTTTTTTTTTTTAGCGCTAGCTCTGATGCATAACTTCACCTGGTATTTCTTGCGCTAGCATCCTTCGAAGTCTTAACGTTTCACGCAGAGCCACGAAATAGCTAAGCATACAGCGAGTGCAGCGGTGTCCTTGTTGCACAAATCGGTCGAAGTAGGCCGTACATAGGGTTGATTAGAAAGACAGCTGCGCACAGACACATGCCGCCTATCAAAAAGCGAAAAACGCAAATGTCAATCAGCGTTCGCCGGTGATGAGCGACTGACATTTACCATTTGTTCTTTTTTTTTTTTTGTTTTCGCTACGGAGCGTGTAGGGACGGTTTCAGTTTGACTCGGCCTCATTCGTGTGACCTGAAGCTGTGGGCTTATCCTTTTAGCGAGCGCGTCACTCAAAGGCCCGGCGAAACCGCACACTTCGCAACACTGTATATTTGCAGCCAGCCCCTTTTTCTACTGCATCATATCCTCGACTCGTCGCGGTGGTGGTTTCGTTATGAAGGGGAGGACGGCGTAGCTGTGCGAAACCAGTTCTGCCGGCACTGCGTGCAAATTTACACAGCTCTTGAAGAGTGAGCGACCGACGTCTGCGGCACGGAAGGG